GCAGAGGCACTTTTCGTAATTCATCGTATATTCCAAAAGAAACTGTTTTTTAGGTAAAAAATGCGTTATTGAAAGGAAGTTCAAACTCATCCAAAATAACGCGTTAAAATGAATTTTCTCACATCGTTTTTTAAAACAAAAACGATGTCTTCTTTCAAACGCGCTTAAACACTTTTATTAAAACGCGTTTTCAAACAAAAAAAACGTCTTGAAAAATAAATCAACACGAAAACCGCCTTCTTTTCTTAAAGTTTTGCGTTTAAACGCGAAAAGAGCGCTGTTTTTTTAAAACTTTGCATTAAAACGCATATTTTCTCGAGTTTTTTTTCATGAGTAGTGATCTCCTTAATGAAATTTGTTTTTTATCAGCAAAAGGATGTCGTGGCCATTTTATATATCTTACAGTACCCAATCTGAAATCAACCACTTCTTATTAGTAGCAAAGGAATGTTTTTCGAGCTTATATTCTATAATGTATATCGAATTGACAATGTAGTCAAAACAAATTGTTGACTTGTTTTCTAAAACTAACATGTGGAACCGAAGTCATTGGCTCGTAAAAAGCAAATGTAAATCAATGCAATGTATTCATTAGATGCGTTTGAATCTTATCTATGAAAATGAGCGGAACGTAATTTTTATGGGACGAAAATGCAAAATGTTTGTTTTTGTGTACGAAAAGGAGCAAAAATAAAAGGAGATGCATAGTTCGTTATCGACACTAAACAATCTTCATTTGTTGAATAAATGTTTCATACGTTGCAATGAAAGCGTTACAATCAGCGTAGCTATTCTAATTTTTTACTGTGTTGATGTTGATGTATACATTGTAGCCCGTGAAAGTAAATATTTATTCACCAATATTTTTTATGAAGTGACTATTCAGAAAAAAAATAGAAGCCCAACCAATGCTATACTTCATTTCTTTATAAACATGCAGGTGATATAAACATTTCATTGACTCTGTAGTACATATTCATAGGAACATTGTTGCACAAACAAATGAGCCATAGCCCAATGTTGTTGTCTACGCGTGATGCACAACGTGAAAGACGAGCATCACACATTTTTTCATCAACTTCTGTAGCTGAAAGATTAAATCTAGCTGGTATAGACAATGCTAGTTTTCGAGCAGATTCAATATCCGATCTTCATGGATCTCCTACGTTATCACGAAGACAAACACAGTCCCATATTCAAACACAACCATCAGACACGGTGATAGATGCTTCAGCAGACGAAGAAACAACTAATAATGTAAACCAAGTGATACCTACACAGAAAACAAAATATCAGTGGAAAATGAGTCACTATTTTTACATTCACGTATGCTTCTTCATTTTAAATGGATTATTCGGTGGTTTAGTAGTTTGGCTTATTGAGAATCATTCTTCTTCACGAAATGTAGAAATGACAGTACATTATATTGATGCTTGGTTTGTTAGTAGTTCATGTGTATATAGTTGTGGTTTAACAACAATTGATTTTGCAAAACTTTCACGTGCTTCTCAAGTTATTCTTATGGGCTTTACATTTATATCAGGTGTTACAATAAGTACATTACCAGCATTACTTGTTAAAGCTCGTACACACAAACGAGTTGAAGGAATAACTGTCGATGATGATCATTATGACGTTGAAGAAAGTAATAATGATGAATTACCAACATTTAATACTCGACGTGAAAGAAATCTACCAGAAGATGCTCGAAATCGACTAGCAACATTGCCAACTGTGTCACAACTTCGCTATCGTGCTTATATAACTTGTATTTTTCTTATTCTTGGCACTTATTTTACTATTTATACTATAATATTCATTGCTATTGGTAGTTGGATAACAGCAAAATATACACCCGACCAACTACTACAAGGAAATTCTACTGTGAATCCATGGTATATTTCATTTATTGTTACACTAACAGGTTTTAATCAGAATGGTTTAACACCTTTCTCAGATGGTTTTGCACGTTTTATTCACGATGTTTATCTCAATTTATTTGCTATGATTGTAAATAATTTCATCTTATTTTATTTTTTATTAAATTGATTTAAAATATTTCTTTTTTTTCATAGATAGTTATGAGTGGCACATCACTTTTTCCTGTTATATTACGAAATGTAGTTTTGCTGGTACGTGTTTTTTCTCCATGGCGTCATAAAGTTGTTTTCGATTATATTCTTATGAATAATCATCGTTTATCTACTTTACTCTTTCCTGCTTTACAAACGCGTATTTATTTGATGGTAACAATTTTATTATATATATTAGGTATTAGTATATCATTGATCTTGGATTTACACAGTAAAAACCTTGCTCAATATCCGCCAGGTACACGTTTTCTTATATTTCTTTTTCATACTGTTAATACGCGTTTTGCTGGGTTCCAATCGTTGGATATCAGTTTATTTGCGACAGCCACATTAGTAGTTTATCTGTTACTAATGGCAACTAAACCACAAATGTTATGTGCACTTGATGAATCTCCGCTAGAATTGTCTTGGCTAGCATTACAAGCTAGAGAGGAAGCTAATGCTGAATCAACGTCTATAGAAAATGGAAATAGTTCTTCAGGTATACAAACACGTAATAATCGAGCAGGATCGACTGCGTCCTTGTCAACAAATGCTGGTCTACCTATACGACAAATGCACCGTTTTCTACGTCGACAAAGTTTAGTGACGAGAGGTCTTGCACGACAGCATTTCGTTCGTGCAGAATCATTAGGTGAGGAAAATTATACACCTCCACGATTAAGATATTTACGTATTCGTTTATTTCTTATCTATTTTACAAGATCTATTATAAAACATACGTTTAGTTTTGTTATATTAACACGTACTTGGTTATTTTTTTTTATTTTTCTTATCTGTGCTTTTGAATATCGTCAAATGGCACCCGTTGATCCTAATATAACTGTATTTAAAATCATTTTTGAAATAATATCAGCATTTGGAGGTGTTGGATTAACACTTGGATATCCAAATGTATATTCGAGTTTTGCTTCTGTTCTTTCACCAGCCAGTAAAACTATACTTGTGATAACAATGTTAATGGGTCGACATCGTGGTTTACTTGCTTCAATGAAAGATCAAGAAGCTATTGAATACAGTGCTGCTGATTTACTTAGTCATCGACGTGAAGAAGTTATAAATCAATATCAAAGAACAACATCCAATACAAATGTTCTTCGCGAGACGAGATCTCCACAACTAACTACGCGATTTTAATGATGAACATAATGTAAATATTTTATTCTAACTTGTTTCTAATCTCTTTTAATATTAATTAAAATCTTTGCAAGCTTTATTTACAGTAATTTCAAATATATTGTAAAATTTTTCATGTATTTTTACATATGATAATCAAATGTTTCCATTCACTACATACAATTAATTCTATGATTTTATTGTTACCTTTCCGAAAGCTACTTTGTATTCACAATGACTCAATGGTAAACATAACAAATAATCTATGGCAGCAAAATGTTGATTTCAAGGTTTCTTGAGGGTTCTGGTGTGGATCTGAATGAATGGGTGTGAGGTCTGGGCCTGGGCGTGTAGCTGTGAAGGCCAGAACCATACACACACCTACATCCTCTTTTATTTTCATGCCTTACATCCACACCACCCTCAAGTCTCCTACTTGACTCGCACAGGTGCCGATTAAAATCTGATGCAGTTAAGGAATTTTATTTTTCGATGGTTTCTGGTATTGATCGTTTCCATTATCACCTTCTTTAGAGCAAAGATTCTAAGAGTAAATTATTAAAAAATGTCACATAGATTAGTGAGAGTTATGAGTGCATTACGTAATGACCTTTAGAGTTCTTCTATCGCATGGTTTGATTTATAAGTTTCTATAATATTAGTCACATTAATGTCTTTTGTTCTTTTAAATTCTTAGGAACATAATTTATGTTAATGAATATCAGTGGATCCAAAAATCACGCACCCCTAGCCTTGGCGTAGGAACTTCCATCAAAAAATGTCCAACCAAGTTTTTCCATTTTGCATGTTGCAACTCTTTTGAATTTCTAAATTATGTTTATGTATGCATGAAAATGTATGTTGTATCTTAGTCAATCTACTATTTTCTTTCAAATAAAACATTACAAGGACCGCTTATTATAAAATTACTGAGAAAGAAGTCAAATACAATATATTGCAATTTGCAGAAAATTCTATATCTCGACTAGAGTATATGTTTGTTATTTGGTTCGAAATTTCATTTATAAAGGCTTACTCATATGAGTTAATGCACGTGCATCGTTGAACTTCTATTTGAAATGGAAGCATGTTATGAGAATCCTTGATCAACTGATGTATTTACTGTTAATAACAATTTTTTTCTTCAGAAAAATTTATTGTTAAACTGAAACATGCAATAACACACTATCTCTAATTTAAGCCTTGATGCATGGTTCCTTAATGAATAATCTGATTCATGACTAAAAATTCTGACTAACAAGTCTAGCTCATTTTTTGATGAAATCTACTTTTTTGTTTAAAAATATATAAAAACAAACAACAAAAGAAACCATTGGAAAAAATCTAGGATAACATTGCATCTATTACAATGGACGTTTAATGGGTGACGCATAATAAACGGAACAAAATGGGCTGCCTTTTTTGAAGGACACTTACAAACATATTGAGGATTCTGCTTTATGAAAATTTTATAGCGAATTTTCTGCTCTTCAAAACTATCGTTTTTGTGTTTCAAATATTTATTTTGTGCCTACATAAAATTAAACACATGAACACATGCTCAATAGTCCGACTGCGGTCTTCACAAGACGAGAAACTAATGAAATTGTTTTAATTAAGGTTTCGCTAAAATTACAAATATGCTAATAAATTCTCCACAGAATTTTGTCTTTGGAAATATGTTTCAGGACTTTAGAAGAAAATACTTGTCAGAAAATGATTTGATATGAACAATCTGAAAGAATCAGAAAATGCATTTGTTGTGGCCGAATGGTATAATCGTTCCGTTTTAGTTTCATGTTACCAAGTTTTTATACTCTTCGATTCAAAAATAATACCATTTTGTTCAGCATTAAATTCTACGCTAGACGACATGAGATTAAACGTCGGATATACCAAATATCACTGTAGAGACATATTTTTCTAAAATGCGTCGCACAATATCACTAAATATAAGCTCAAACTCTTCACTCTAAAAATAAAATAGGTATTCTACCAAACCTAAAAAGGACCTTCCGCCGAGCACACAGGAAGATCATTTTTAGGTTTGGTTAAAACCCGGGTTCGGTACCGAACCGTTTTGCAAAAGAATAAACAAATAGTTTTGTACCGAATGTTTCGAACTGCACCCAAGCAGAAGCAAATTAGGAATAGCGCATTTAAACACTCAGTCGGTAACCGCGACTGCGAGCCATTAACGCTCATTATAATGACATATGAGATGTGTCGTTTGTGCAAAATTTTCATTTCAGACTGTGAAAACGGCTGACAACTTTAGTGTTGAGTGCCAAAACACACTGTTATGCTTGAATTTCAAGAACAGCCCACATTGGCAGTAAAAACTGAAATTTTCGACAGCTTCCAAACTCTGAAATGAAAATTTTACACAATGGACACATCTCATGCGTCATTATAATGAACCTTAATGGCTTGCAGTCGCGGTGACCGACTGAGTGGTTAAATGCGCTAACCCAAATTTTGGTCTACTTGGGCACTATCTCGATCAGCACAAAAAATAGTTCCAAAGATACAGTTGAGTACGAAGTCTTTCCACAGCACACTGAAACGAGCTTTCACGTATCTCAAATTTGGCCTCAATAGCATTATAACAATACTCACTAAATTCACTGCACAATAATTATCGATTCATTGTTTTTTCAACTACTAACTAGTTGTACTTTCCAAACGTATAATGCATGTTTCACTTTCAGCATCCATTCAGTCTAAAACAGAGGAATAGATGAATTGGGTGTGAGTGAAAATATTCAACCTAACTATTTTTTGAGATTTCCAAATAAAACACCAAGTATGATTGAACTGATTTAATATTCACAGATTTACCACAACGCGACTTATGTACGATTTCTCTGTTTCGTACAATAACCCTTATAAAGGAACTACTGAATTTCTATCATGGTATTTAACAAAAGCCATGCTGCCGCAGATGTTTCACGGATCCATTTATAGAAGATAATAAGAATCGATAATCCCATAATCGTCGAGTTTATCAACAATATCATAAAATAATGGCATAATCATGCATATCACCTAAGATAGAAAAAAAGGAATTAGTGTATGCTATGTCTCAAATTGTAATAATCGTACCTGAAAATTATCGTGATGAACTAGAATCAAGATAGAAACTAGATTTATTCATGCTGCTTGATGTTACAAAATAAATCATACCTGCGACTTATGATGATAATTTCAATCTAAGATAGAGAAAGCAATTCATTTAATTCATGTACATTTCTTAAATATTACTAAAGAAAATAGCACCAGAGAATCATGATGGTGAGCTTGACTTGAGATAGAAAAAATAGATTAACTCACGCTGGTTAATCTTATTACAATGATCATACCTAATAGTTATGATGTTCAATTCAATATAGGATAGAAAAAGAAATTTATTAGTGTTCTTCGGTTTCATTAAATTGGTTATTTATCTGTGATTTCTGATGATGCCTTTCATCTAGGAAGATGAATGGAAATTAAGGCATAGTAAATTTCATTCTAGCACCCCACAAGTGAGAATAAGATGGCCCAATTAAATAGAAGTTTCAGAAGTGAAACTTATTATCGTTATTCATTTTCGTGCTAATAATTGTAACTGTGATCTATGATGATGAATTTGGTATGAAATAGAAAAAGTAAATTCATTCTAATTGTTATATTTATTCCTGATAATATAACTTGCGATTTCTGATGGTGAAATTCAACCTTAGACAGACAAAGGAATTTTTTATCGTTATTTGATTTGAATGTAATAATAGTACCTGAAAATGATGTTGATAAACTTGACTGATAGGAACACAAAATTTACTCGTCATTTTGAGTTCTCTTACAAGATCACGCCTGACAATTATGATAATGAACTGGATCTAAAATAGAGAAAGAAAATACATTCATGTTCTTCAATATTATTGCAACAATTATACCTGGGACTTTCGACGATATATTCCATCTAAGATAGGAAACGAAGTATATTCATTCTTCTTGAATTTTATGACAAATCATACCTGAGAATCATTGTGATCAGCCTGTTCTTAGATAAAAGAATACCCCATTCTTTTTTAATAATATTCCAGTGATAGTAGAAGAAAATGATGACGATGGACGTGATCTACGACAAAAAGAAATGATTTATTTATTGTTTGTTTTTGAATATTATGAGAATAATTATACCTGGGAATTTGAGACAATATGCACTTGAATGAAGATAGAAAAAAATAGATTCGTTCACGTTGTTTAATTTGATTGTAGTAATAATAGATCCGACTAGTGATGAATAGTTCCAAGTAGAGTATAGAAGAAAAAAATTATTCATTTTCTTTAAATTCATAAGAACAATTCTATTTGATAATTATGATAGTGAATTTGGTCTACATTCAACAAACGAATTATACAATATTGGCTTTTGGGATTTTATCCAATTAGTGATACGTGTGTAATTTGATATTGAGTTGATTATATACGCTGTAACCTAGAAAATAATTTATATAGTGTAATGAAACATATTTTAGGAGAGTCCATACGAATTCGTCGATGAATTTTGTACTTTCTTGAAAATTCGATCTTCCAGTTAGAAAATCGAAAGTGAATTCGTATGGGCTTTTCTGGAAATTCACACTTTATTTAGCAATTGGAGCAGTTTCTGGAAGTTCGAAATTCAATTTTCATTTTCATTGTATAATGGTGGTGGAACACAACAAATAAATATCGGGCAATATGTTCCATAAAACACCATAAATAAGAAAAATATGAGAATCGAAATATAAGATAAAACTTATTTACTAGAAAATATCCCTCCGGGAACCAATAAAGAGAAAAAATTTAACTACTTAAAAACATTGTGATCAGAAAAAAGACGCAAAATACGATACTCAAGTTTAAATATCAAAATACTATGTAACAGTTGAAATGCAGGTTGAAAAACATGAAAGGTTAAAATTATCGATTGTATACTCAGAAAATTTTATTTCTAATATTCTTGGGAATCGTAAGAAATAAATCGCCATTAT